ATACTCGCCTTTTGCCACTGCTGCTCAGCTGCTAGCCGCCACTTGCATTACCGGAGACTACAATGATGAGGACGTGTGGCATATTACTTCACTGGCTGAGCCTATGTTAGATGGAAAGGCATTTCCCAGCATTTATGAGGAGAGCATTGGTGACACTAGCTAACCTCACTAAGACCTAATACTAGCACTTAGCCCCCACTTCCCTTGTTCACACCAATGTTAAAGGCAGTGTGAAGAACTTTTCTTGATGGTCTTATTGATATTGATGAAAAAAGTACCTTCTTCTTGTCCACCAGATCTTGTCTTCTGTCTCCTGTAGTAAGGTCTGTTACTGGTTCCAAGACCCTCAAGTCAGTGGAAGGATGTGATCGAACAAAAGCTATCAACAGTGAAACAAACAAAACAATTGGAGTCTCTTTTGCCTCAGGGCTCGACTTTCAGGAAAAAAAACCTTGGGGCCAGCTGGCTCCTAGGTTTTCAGATTTGTTCACCAGCACAAGTACATTTCAGTCGCCAAAACTCTTCCACCCACTGGGCCTTATATATTTCCACAATAGAGACATTCAAACAGAGCGAATCACACATTTTTTTCTATCTAATCAGTTTGCCACTTTTTTCCAAAATAATGGAGAATATGACTAAATGACATTCGTTTATTTCTCTATTTAAAAAAACAAGTTCCATGTTGCAAGCTTTGATTCAATGTTTTCCATAAACTGGTGCTAAAGAAAGTAAATACATTTAACATTCATGCGCAGGCTTTTCACTGATGCATAGCAACTGCACAGTTTATTTAGATGTGAATTATTGTTTTTTTAAAATCTCTTTAGCTACCACGGGAACTTTAAATGCTGTGCAGTCCTGAGTTCTTTAAAATTACAGATCAGACTAACTCGGGCCACGGATGTCTTTTAATGAAGTATTTTTTTTTTTGATTTATAAATCTCATGTGTGAGCCACACACCCCCAACCCATGGAATAAACAGGTCGCGAAAATTTCATGTAGCAAGGTAGCCAACCTCAACGCTTGGCTAGTAAAAATATTTTTTGGCTAGTAACATCTAAGTTATCACTAGCCACTAGGCTAGTAAGTTG